TGCAGAGTTCTGGGTGCCTCCCTAGCCTTCTCCAGCTGCACCGTCCTCTTCACATTCAGACTTCTTGCACCCATAATTACTAGGTGCCCTGTGCCAGGCTCCTTTAATTAACCAACCCAACTCTTCTCCCTTTGGGATCAGACTAAGCTCTTTTTTATTAGTTCCATCGGTATCTAGGCCTAAGCAGGATACTTTATACCACTTTGTGAGTGGGGCTGTAGGGTGCACCTGCCTGCAGAAGAGGCAAAGAAAGCAAGGCTATGAACCAAGGGGAAATGGCATGAGGGGCTGATAAAACACCTTTCAAACTTACATCAGCAAACATGACACAGCTCAAAATCCTCAGGAAAATGTCTTGCATGAGGGGGACCTTGGTGTGCCAGTTAGGTGCTGCTACAAGCCAAAGAGCAGAGGCAAGAACAGATTAAAACCGCCTTACTTGTCGTTACACTGGAGCCAACCTTATGATTTTCAGGGCTCCAAGAAAGAGCTCAGCACTCCTGGAGAGCACTATTTCCCCAAGCCTCACTCTCTAGCTGACACTGTCTTACCACCAGCTAGGATGAAGTCTGAATTACAGGTCCATGTAATGCCCTAGAAAAACAGGATCCCCATTTTACTGTTTGTACTTAAGACTCCATGTTCCTGTCTCCCAGGAGAACCGACAGATCAGAGTCCACAAACTGTCCAAACAGTTCTTCTTCCTACCCTGCATGGCACTGCTAAACCTCTTGCAGGCAGCTTCTTTAGCCTTTATTGGTATTATACTTTTAGCCAAGACACTTCCATTCTTTGAAGCTGTTTCATCTAATTTCTGGACAAACTGCAGCACACATGTAAAAAAGAAATGGCAAAATGCACACCGGCCTTTTCTGGACCATGAGATATTCTGCACGTATGTGTTCGTGCACGCGGTGGAGAGAGAATGGGAGGTGAAAAGCAAAAGAGCTGGCTAATGTCTTGGGATTTCTTAGGACAGACGGTCACTCTAGTTGCGCAGCTTGACGTCCCCAGAGAGTTTTCTCAAGGAGAAACCAGCCATCGATCTTGGGACACACAACTTCCAGGACCGTTCCTTATCTCAGAACAGCTTCTGCCACGAATTCCTGAATGCGCTTTAATGTTTAAATTATTAAATGCATTAATGTATTTACATTATTCAAGTCTTATGTGCATTTTTCTAAGATAATTTATGTATAAGAGTTTGAATGTCCATGACTGTTAATGTCTACAACCCTTCCTGTTCATTATTGATTCTGGAAGGGAAAAAAAAAGGCAGTGTTTTAATGCCTTATTTTTAATGTATTAAGAGTCTGAATAAGTGCATTCTCTTTTTTCTTTTGTAATTTCATAATTTAAGTAGTGCATTTATTAAACTGACACAGTATGAATTGTGGTGAAGTCTGGCACAGGTCCATGCTGCCAACGCAGCCCAACCGACCATCACACTACTCTGCAAATCAAGTACAAGCCCAGCTCCTCTTACGCTAGCTTTTATTCCCCACCTGAAATCAGAAGGGACAGAGACTACAAGGAATTATCTTTTAAAATACATTTTCTTTGCTATTTACATGGCTTTTCTCTGTCATCTCCATTTTAAGTCGGTGAAAGTTTTCCTATGCTATTGATGAACTGTTTTAACGCAAATCTGTTTTTTTTCAATGAGCTCTGACACATATACTGCAGGTAAAAAATTTCTACAGTACCTTTTAAGCCCAGTAGCTCCAAAGCTCTTCAAAAATCTAAACTGAATATAGTTCTGTTGTTTCTACACTACAGTCGCGCACATCATAAAACCAAAAATTTGCCCATAGCTTAATGTTCACAAGCAAATATATAATTATACAGGAATCAGGTCACCTCCACTGTTGAACCACAGTCACTTCAGAATGCAGAATGCAACAGCTACTCAGCAGTAGTTGGCCATCCTGCACGCCAGTTTGGGACAAGAATGCTATAACAGGCAACAGAAAGTGAAAAAAATTTCAGTTAACACACAACAGAGCTACCTCCGCTCACTCCACCCACACATAAATGGTGTTGTATGGACATGCACCTTATATATAAATTATGTGTAAATGTCTTAGATGTTTATAGCCAAAAATACTAATTTCAAAGTCCAGTTTTTACTGCCAGACAAATCCACTGCCAGCTGAGCCTACACAGAGCAACAGTGACACCCGATGGCTTTCAGCCTAACCTTCGGACATGTGTCCCCTGGAGAAGAACCCGGGGGCTCCATCGCCTCCGTCAGCGTGGTAGCCCCAACTCAAATCACCTATCAGAACAACTCATCAAGAAGCTGAACTGCAGAGAGATAAAACTTGCTATACGTAGGCACTGTATGTAATTATGAGTGTGTGCATAAGTTTCACAGTACATTCTGCATAATTACAGCCCTGCCTGGCACAGTTGCCAGTGCGAGCATGAACACACACGCACACACATAATGTATGCACAATACTGTGCATATGGACTTGGGAAAAGACAGAGAACAGTGAAAGTTGCTGGCTGTTGTTTTAAGAGCTGACTCTGCCATTTCTAAGGTTAAGTTTGTGTTTTTTTGCTACTCATTACCATTCTTTAACTGTTACAATTTATATCAGCATATAATGTTAAATAATTACAGGGAGCGGAGCTCACTCTAGCGAGGATATAAATGCGCTGTGGGATTCTACAGATTTAAACAAATAACACTCACAGCAGGGGGTGAGCAGATGAATTAGCATTAATATCCTGCCTGGGAGATCCCAGTGCAGTGTTATGGCTTAAATACAGATCTTTTCTGTAACAGTCAATATGACAGCTACTAGCAATACAGCCCAGCACATTCACTAGTCAATATAGCAGCAGCAGCTAAAAGAATGCCCTTCTAATAATCCATACAGCAGCCAGTTAAAATAAATAACTTCCCTTTAACAGTCTATATCGCAGCCAACTGCATTAAAACTTTCCCTTTTAAGGTCTATACAATAGTCAGCTAAATGGAAAAATTGGCATCCTTCTTGGCAGCTTCAGAGGGAAATCAAGCATCAGATGGGCTAGAGACTGAACTCTCATCTCTTGGGGGACAAGGGGGTCCCTTCGATATTGCACTGGTGGGGAATATCACAGCTTGCAGTTTAAGTTTTGTTAAGAAGAGGATTTAAGCCTCCAAAGCCATCACTTTGCTATCTTTCACAAGCAATTACATTCACTTTAAAAAATAAAGACCAAAATCTATTTCTTTCCTGATCAGAACAACGAATGAGGCAGACCACAGCTGTCCAGGAGTAGCCAGCACGTTATTTCCTCAGAGTAAAGGCAATATGCTTTTTCTAGCACTTTTACCATTAGAGAGATACCCCATCTCAGTCTAAAAGCAGAACCCGAACTTGAACTCTCTGTTTTGAATCAGTAGCTGCTTTTTCACTCTCTAACAAGAAGCAACAGGCTGAGGTAGGTTAGGAGTCTACCTCCCTTGGACTATACCACAGCCCCTCATTTTGCAATAGCAATTGCAAAAGACTGTAGTATAAATCATGATAGAAATTGTTACAAAGCATCCAAATCTGAAAACTGAACTGGAGGAAAACCCATGACCACAACAAATTCTGTCATAAGGCCACTACATACGCTTTTTATATCTAGGGTCAAATTCTGTTCTCACATATACAGATTTTATGCTGGCAGACCTCCGTTCTTCTGCGACGGAATGGCTGTAGATTTACACTGTGAATTAACTGACCTGCAAAACAAACCTGTAGAACTTTGACAAATTAAAACAATGCTTCTTGAGGCAAATTAGAAAGTAAACTGCAAAAAACTCATAAAGCACTTAATACTGAGCTTACAGTTTACAAACTGTTCTACAAGCAGTAATAAATCTCCAGAAAATGAAATGTTTAGATATTTTCATATTTTCCATATTGCTAAGACATTTTATTGATAGGGAATTCTGCCACTAAGATACTACATTTGCTAGCTTCTTATAAAAGAAAGGAGATAGATGACAATTTTGTTAGAAATTGGAATGATAAAGCACGAATGGCATTTATTCTTTAAAACTCCACAAATGAAAAACAGCTGCCTGCTTTCTTTTTAAGAAACCTATCCCTTTGGGTATATATTAAAAAACATAAACATAAACCAGGGGCCTACAATCCCACCAGATGTTTGGCACCTGGAGCCTTTTCAAGTAACTGATCAAGAAAATAAATATTTTTTCAGGTAACAGGAGAAAAAAAATCTCTAAAATCTTTTGCATTGTCAATGTCTTAATTTATTTTATCTCAGATTTTAAGGGAAGACTGCAGCTATAAACACATTCCAGATTACAGCCTCCCAAATTAAAAATAAATACACACCACCCTTACTCCAGAAGTCATGGTTTGAAGCTTTGACCATATTTTGCAAAATGACAGTTATTAAAAACAACAAACATGCATCACAGTGAGTCATCTGGTTTCCAACTTGTGAGTCAAAAGGGGCTGATTCCACACAAACTGAAACCTGGCTCTCTGACTACTTGCATGTTTAACGATTTGTATCTCTGCACCACAGCTTCAGAACAGGATGTGGAAGAAAAGAATGAAAAGGAGATGGAAGAAAGGGGAGGGGAGAGGAAGAGAAAAAACACTTCTTTACTGGTCCCAGTGTCATTGCAAATAAAGACCATGTCAAGATTTAAACCATAATAATGGAAAGGCTATAAAGGTCCCTGCTATAATGTTTCCTCTGATATTCCCTTTCATAAATGCTCTCTTTATGTTGCATGCTTTGCAATAATACATGTAATGTTTGTGAACTAGCCCCGCTGGGGAAGCTGTATCATATGAAGCTTCACAGAATACAACATTAGAAGCTAGACAATTCATTTACCAGTTCCTCAACTTCTGTTAGCTACACCTATCTTCTGCAAGAGAATGCAACAAACATGAAGAGACAGGTAATCTAAAGCAACCTCCAAATAAGTTTAGCTGGAAACAGATCTGTATGTACCAATGTATGGACGGAGTTACCTCTTCCTCCAATGCAATACCTTTCTGGATAAAACTAAAAGCCTCTTCCCAGATCCTACATGTACAAGCAAGAACCCTGAACTTGTTTACAGCTATGCCAATCGGATCAATAGTATCCCGAGCTTCCTCTTGGCAGACCGTGGAGAACACCAGTGCCAAGATTATCTTCACCACAGATCCCTGCCAGCACCAGCGCGGTGAGCCTCCCGATGGCACTGCATAAGCACACGGGCGTGGGGTACCAGTTGCAACACCTCCCTCATTTTGCATGAGCGTAGCAAGACCCATTCACTTCAGCAACACACTCTGCTGCATGGAGCTCTGCCTTCCCAGAAGGAATGACCAGCAGCAGCCTGAGGCACCTGCAAGCCTGGCAACACCACCTCTGTAGAAATTAGGATCAGACTGGCTTTAGCACTGAATTTCCCAAGTCACCTGATACCTCTACTTGGCAGCATACCGGGTGCTCGGTAGCTGACCATCAGAGTGAGAACTACGTCCATCTTGACAGGATCGTGGCAACCTGAGGTTGAGAAAGGGGTTGTCAAAAACATAGTGGCAGGGGGCGGGGGGGGCGCGCTCGTCTCAGTCTTGACTGTAATTCTCAATCACTGCACAGAAAGTATTTATATCCTGTTGGCAGCATGTGTAACCAATGCGACTCTTCGTGTCAGAGCTGTCAATTACGGGCTTGACTTATGAGGAAAGATTAAATGAGCTAAATATGTAGAGCTTGGCTAAGAGACCAGGATGGGGGTGGGGGAAAGGAGAAATGATGTGATAACTGTCTGCAAACATCTGAAGGGTGCAGATGCTTAAGGAGGAAAGGAATCACTTAGGGTGGCACACAAAACAAACAGGAGAAGCAAGCTGGAAGGAAGACACAAAAAATTTTCACTGCATAGCAGGGAAACTCCATTCCAGCAAGATGTACTCTGATGTAGAATTGTATCCCAAGGAATACCATCATTCAGGCTATTCAGATGCTTGACAAAACACCACAAAGTTGGCAGCAAATGAAAATCCCCCCCGACCAAAAGATAAAACAGATAATGTAAAAAAGTGAGTCACATTGTGAGTGTGGCTGATGATAGGAAGCTCTCTCTCTTGCCTCTCTCCAGCTGTAAAATTCTTTTACTTAAAAGCTATGCATATTTTTGTTGTTACTTTTCCAGAAAGGCAATTGTCAAAGTAGCAGTGGTGTGTTATGGGATCACAGCTGGGAAGAGGACACGGTCTGTACAATTATAACAAGGAGAAGAGCTATGTAAACATCCATATGAAACCCAAACAAACAAAAAAACCCCATTAAGATGTTTGGAAGGATTTGCAATAAGTGGCATACAGAGAAATACAAGAAACATGAAAAGCAGGGAAAATCTCATCTCCAGTAAGTTGGTTAGGAACTTCAAATCCAAGAATTATACCAACTCTCAACTTCCTAGCTCAGCAAATCTCGCTTCTGAAGGTGCTGGCATCAGAAGTATCTGATGGTTGTATTTCTGTGCATCAAAGTTGGGGAAAGTTCTTTCAAGTTCTTAAGTCATTCTGCCTTTTGTGCCGCAGTTACCTTACTTTTTAATGTGATGAAGATGCAACACATGCTTTACTCTGAGGCACAACAAAGATGCCACAGACATTGCAAATTTTTTCTTATGGCATCATCTTCCAGCTAAAAGTAGGAGGAAGCCAAGAAGTGAAGAAAGTTATCACATTTAGGCAGTTATAATCTGATAAGAATCACTAGCTGTCACTAGACTCTTCTTGATTGCAGTAACAATGACACAGGCAGCACCTGTATACAGGGAAAAGGAGTCCAACTGCTCAGTGGTATTAGAGGTATGAGAGGAATTCAGACTCTCTAGCAACACTTCCCAGGTTAGGAATTTAATAATGTGGAATCAAAAGGCGCTCCAATGAGCAAGTCTCCCGCATAAAGCTATTTCAAGCAGCTAAAAAGGCAGACACTCCTGTGATGTTCTTAAACCGGTCCCTCCTCTCCCTAGGCAGAAAGAACCGTGGGCAATTGCTGCCCTCTACAAGTTGTTCTGCACATAGCATGTTTCCACACACACGTAGCTGAAATAACACCATTATCTCACCTTGACCCCACAACCCAGCATCACCAAAGCGCACACTGCGCAGGTACCTCTCTGCTGTGTGCCGTCACCTGTCTGAAATTCAGAGGTACCCCTTCCAACAGCTGGGATGCCCACAGCAAAGCGCTCCCGATCTTTGAGCAGGCAGAGAGCGGGGCTGCCAACCGCTACAGAACACCCAGCTCACAGCAAAGCAGGCAATGATCTGTAAAAAACTGTTTGTAGGTTTAGTACACCTCCAAAACATCACGTGAACATTAAAAAAAAAAAAAATTCATTATTCTCTAGGCAAAAATATCAAGTAACATGCAGTATTTCCCAAGTGAGTGCCAGTGTTTTTTTCCAATGTCACAAAGCGCTGTAGCTTTCATTTTACCTTCAGTGAGAGATCTGGGATATCTGGAACTTAAATCATACCTAATATTGAAAAAGACTCTAACCTAACTCTTACTACTTTAATTTCCTTATAAGTTTTGTAAAGAACAACTTACAGTATTATTACTATTGTAAAAAAAAAAAACCCTTAAAACTCTTCTGACGAGTAATGTCGGTTTGTCTGAAAAGCAAGTAGGAATTGCTTTCAGAGCTCTCTTCAGCACAAATGCATAGAAAATACTATAAGCTGCTAACTCACCACACTGTTAGTAATAGAAAATGACTGTACCTATCCTAGTTGTTACGCGGCCTCACCCACCAGCTGTAAAGTGTTGTTTAACCTGTAAGCTCTTAGGGACAGGCAAAGCCATTATTACATTTTGTATAGTCTGACAGGGTCTGAACCTGCTTTGGCCTGTAACTGCTGCAAGTTTCTAGCTTTCATACATTAACATATAATGCTACAACAGCAGTTACATCCCAAACTACTATAGTCCACCCTCTTTTAAAATTGTGATTGAAAGGAATTCCAAAAAAAATTTCCCATTGACCTCAGACAGGCAATTTAACTTGACGTGACAGCGTTCCTTTAACTACGCTCAGTAAGTAAATTTGCATCTGTTTACTTGTCTAAATCAACAGAGTAAAAGGAATTGACAGATTAAGAGAGTACACTTTGGATGAACAACAGAAGAAGTCAATGAATGCACAGAAGAGACAAAAACATGCAAATAATCTCAAACTTATCGGAGGGTCAAACACAAGAGAGGTCTGCTTAGTAAATCATAGAATTATCTTTGCAGCAAACCAAAGGATATTGTGTGAGGCAGTCACGCACCTCTGGCTCCCTGTTCCAGGACCAGCAAAACTGACATCGGCACAGCAATTGCCCTCCTCAGCCTGATGGAATTATTGTCCAGCACTGGGAATCCACGGCAACACCTTCAGGACCTCCTCAAACGTGCAGAAGCATTATCACACCACAGGGTTACTGCCCGGACGGGAGGTCGCAGGGCTGATGGTCTCCTCTCACCCCTGCTGACAGTGGTAAATTATCCTGACTAATGTTTCGCTGGGGGCTGTAAGTTAGTTGCCTACTAACTCTGGCTGTCTCAAAATCCCCTCTGGATAGATTTACTTTTAGAGAAGCATTCAGCGCAGGCCACTGCTCCAAACAAACCCATTGTGGCAGACAGAATATTTGTACAGTAAAGAGGTATAAATCTTGTCTTAAACAACAAAAGGTGGGAAAATGGAAAGCAAAAGTGTGATGGGGAGTGTCCCTCCAGCACACTCCAGTCTCTCACATAATTCCTGGAAACAAAAGTCTTTCTGGAAAAAAAAAAAAAAAAAAAATCATATTTTACAAATCTAAACTAGGATCTTTGAACTTTAAAAGAAAGGATAAGGATACCACACAGTAATCCTTGCATTAGAATGTGTTCCAGAAAACAAAGCGCAAGTTTTTCAGTGAAAATGCCTTTCTTATTTCAAACAACAATTTCAGGCAAAGGAGAACTTAAAAAAATTCCCATGTACTTCAATTTCTGTAGGTTTTCATCAGGCAGAAAGAGCATCTGCAAAGAGACATAGATCCTCAGTGTGTCCAAAGATTTGTTCATAAAAAGTGGATCTGAGTCCTCTTAACTAACATCAGCTCCAACAAGGTCTCTCAAATCTCGTAGCACAGTTCTGTAACCTTTCCTCATTCCCACTCATGGTTTTCTTCACATAGTTAAAGACAACAGTACCATTAGTGTTAGGCTCTGTCAACTTCTAATTACACCAGTTAAAGCTAAAAGTAGTCAAACTCAAAATCTCGATTGGAAAGCTCCTTCCTCAGAAATCTAAATTAAATTCTCTTTAACTATAGCCTACGTAAGAGGAAGCTTAATAGAACACATAAGGCTTAAAAGGAGGCAATGAAACAGAGAGGATCCAATCTATCGTCTGTCACTGAATTCTAAGCACCCAAATCCAGGCAGCTGCGAAAAGGGTAACTAACTGTTCAGTTTCAGTTTCAAAAATTTTATGCATTATAAACACATATCACAAATTTTACTGGTTTACTTCCAAGGAAACCTAGCAACTCAACACAAAAAACGATGAGGAACTAAATATGCCCACAACCAAACCCCAGTATCATGGCTTCAATCTGAGAATTCAACTCACAGTTCAGGAAAGCAAAGATAGATACAAACACTGAATGTGTTCAGCATGGACATACAGACGGATGTGACTTTGTGCCTGTGGATACACAATGGGTACAGAAATGTCAAGACTCTTTGCAGCTCTCCATTCGTTTTCATTATTCCTCAATCACCAGAAAAGTAGTCAAAACCAGAAAAAAGACAAACTAAAGAAGTAGCAGTATACTACAATCACTTTTAAAAAACGTATTACACATGCAAGGCTAGAGACTTTTCCAAAGATATAAAAGGGGCAGAACGAAGCCCCTGAAATAGAAATTACCTCATTTGCCAGGCCAACAGACTAGGTCTCACATCTATGCCACCAACTTGCCAGGTGAACCTGGCTAAACAGTTAACCTGTGTGTCTCAATTAGCTTTTCTAGAAAATGGAGATAACACAGACATACTCCCTAAACATGACAATTATTGTCTGCAGTGTACACTATGATGTTTGCACAAAAAGGGTAGTTAAAAGTATTCTGGCCATTATCATGACCCTTAAAAAATCTGAAAATCAGTTTAACAAAGGGTGGGGAAAAGCCACGAGGGCTCCAGCACATACCAACAAACTCTACACTAATGGCTACAGAGGCAGCAGTAACTCCTGTTACCTTGTACCTTTCAGCAGCCTGTAAAAAAGGGAATAAAATCCATATTTCAGAGCTAACTGCTATCATCTGCAGAAAGAAACAGAAAGAAACAAAAGAAGGAAAGTTAAATAATCCTGCAAAAGAAAATACTCTGCTTCTCATACCATGATGCAGGGATTCTTCAACTTACTGAGAAACCAAGAGTGTTTTACATCTACAACCAGTACTTTTATATTTACAACTAGTACTTCTTCCAGATAGCAGGCACTAGCAAGGGAATGAGTATGTTTTGTGACAGGGAAAACAACCCAAAACAACAAGCAAGCAGCATGTAGAAAGGTGTCACTTACAAGCTCTGCTTCCTTAGGTTTTTCTTACAACCCAGGCTCGTGTTAGGGGCAATCATATGTATAACCTTCATAGTTGTAATTTAGACTTCAGCAGATTTGGCAGAAAGAAAAGGCCAGCAAACATATTCAAGCTCTTAAAAACATCTCAAAAGCAGCACAGAATGGTTAAAAAGCTACACAATGCTGCTAGAGAGAGACAAGCTAAAAAGAGCAGCAGAAAAGACAACATAATGACACTGAAGAGAGAAAATAGACCAAAGAAACAATGATTCAAAAAGAAAAGAGGATTTTCTAACTCTTTAACCTCACAGAAAGGGGTTCTGTCCTATGTAGTTACATCTTTTGCACGTCCCAGAACTTTGAGTCATTGCAAAAAGACAAACCTATTCCAATTCCACAAGTGTTCAGAGGATTATCAGAGGTGGCTGCACATACAAGCAGAAAGGGATGCAGCAGTGTTCACTGATAAGCTGGACTCAAGGAGAAGCTGATCCCACACTGACGATGACAAACGTGGCTGTAAACAGCAGCAGAGCGAGATGCTGACACTCTGCTAACACAAGGTTACACTTCCCACTATGGAGCTACACGGCAAATTTTAATGGGCCAAGACCGACAGCTAGGGAAATGAGTGTCCGCTCTCTGCTGCAAAAATTATAGCTTTTCCCATCCCCCTCCAACTCATTCTCCACTGTCAGAACTATAACACAATGACCTCTTATTAGGGAGTATTTTTCAGTTGGGACAGTTTATTGTAAGGACACTGGATAACTCAAGGGATTAATGGCATGGACGCGGAGTCCCTTATCTACAGTTTGGTAGTTCAAGACACCAAAAGTGGGTTGAAGAAAGAGCAGTTAGGAGTGTGACATGAGTTTGTAGGACTCCATTCTGAAGGCCTCAGTGAAGCCATAAACCTTAGCAAGGTATGTTCTGAGGACCCAAAATTCAGGACATGATACGATGTCGGACTGCACCTGCTACAAGGTATTGCAGAATGCTGAAGTCCTCTTGCAAACAACAAGAAACGATTTTTTTCTCCTGTGTTCCTGTTGAAAGCGGCAGGCTGTGTGGGTACAGAGTACAGAAGACAGTGCCACTGAGCACACAGAAGGTATTTAGCACCTTGCAGGATACAGCGCCCGTTAGAATGACAAATACAAAACAAAACCAGTTTGAGCCTATAATGACATCTGCTGATACAATGCAGGATGTTTTAACTCTCTTGTTTTCTCATACTTGTGCATAAGCACCACTGGTATGTTCCAAACAGGTCTCAGTCCTATGAAGCACTGAGTACTGTCCGTCACCAATTACGTCAAAAAAGGTGAGGGAGTACAGAGCAGAATTTGGTCATGAGACTTTTCTCCCTCCTCTGGATTCTCTAAGTCTTCTTCAACTGCTTAACACCAGATTTGAAGTCAGCAATGATACGCCTAAGCACATGGCTTTCCCATTCAGAGCCATTTGTTGGATTCATGCCATAGTTTGTTCTGGTGTTTCCACAAACATTTTCATGACATGGCGCCATGTGCCTACAAGTCTGCTTTATGGACCGAGATCTACTGCATGTGTTAGAAGGCAGCGTGCATGATCCTGGCTACAGAGAAGCCACAGCAGTGTGGTGGAAGTTAGGTCATCTGGCTCACAGAACTGAACTGCTCATTTAATAAGGCTTCTGCAGACACTCAGCTGGAAGCAATAATGACTCCTAAGCAAACGTGACAGAGTCTGTGAGAGTTTAACATAAAAAAAAACAATTAATGAAAAAACAAGGAGAAAACCTCCACCTTTCAAATGGCTCTAATTAGCTCACATGCAAGACTCAGCATTATGAGAGTGAAGTTTATGCTGGAGTTCTTTAAATTTATAAATATTTTTATGTGGTAGGAACATACCTCTATTCAGAAAGATACACAACTGCTATGTGCTTCCTCTCAGCAATTTTTCAGTTGCACATACAGTAAGAAATTAATTAAATCAAATGTAATGTTAGACTCTGCCTCGAGAAAGAGAACAAACTGTTGACCAGCACAGGATGCAATGATCTGCTGCCTGCTATGACCTTTCGTAAGGGTGGAGGAAGAAGCCAACCCCCCAAAAAAATAAACCACCAAATCCATCACAAAGCACGACAACTTCAGGTAATCTCACACACAGATGTCTATGCAACTACGGATGGCACGGTGTTACTAGACTAGAGAGATTTTCACTGCAGAGCTTAACAGAATTCATGAACAGGCCCTTTCATTCGATGCACTTTACTGACCCTTCCCAGTTCGCAGTCTTTACTGACATCTCCCTCCTTTAAAAATCATCTCCTGCGTTCTCCAGATAAGAGTTACAAGGTAAAAATAGTTTGATGTGGCCAGTGCTACACCATTATGGAAAGTATTTGAGTCTGCTCACTGCAAACAGCTTGTACTCACTATGATCACCAAATGAAAGCCAGGGAAGAAACTCAACTAGAGATTTATATGTTTAGGACAATAACATGGGCTAAGAATTTTGGCAAGGTTTTGACTGAGTTATAGATGCCCGAAGAGGAAGCAAAAAAAAAGAAAAAGAAGGTTGTAAAACAATATATATACTGCAGCTCCAGAGAGTGGCAGCTCACTTCCCACTCTGCGCCACCATAAAAATGAAAACAAAACAGGGTTCTCTTAGTTATCCTCACACACAAAAAATCCCAGAGCTCTTTCCAAAATGGTTCTGGAGTGAAAACATTGGATCACACGCACTGCCAGCTGCCAGACACTTCTAAGCTCACTCTGAGTGCAACTGAAAATAAAGACAGCTTGAATGTGGTCTCTGAGCAGCAAAGGGTTTTTTTTATTAGACAATAGCACTAAGAATCTGCGTCCAAATTTTGCTGCACAGGTCTTTCTTCAGACTCTTTACTACACAAGCACTGATCAAGAGCGTACACTGCACACACTTAGGACACGCAGTCTGTGCCCAAGGACAACTCAGTGGCCTAGGTGACCCATCTCTAACCCCAGAAAGGCAGGAGGTTATAGATACAGGTCAGAATTCAGAGGTCAACAGCAGGGCAACATAAGGCAGATTACACCTTTTTCACAAAGCACCAGCTCCTCAGAAAAGCAAAACAACGGATGCAAAATGATGCAGCAAAGAGAACAACTCATGTATACTATATTATCAACCTGAAATTCTATGCTGTTTCTTGAAGAACTCACCAGTGGTTCCCGAGATGCTGCATTTTCCGTCGCAGGGCAGGAGCCAGCCTGTAAAGCAAAAAGAAAAGCGAGGTTACATTGCCACCTGAAGGACACAGTTAGAAATACAAGCCTGTCAAGACCGATC